TAAAGAACAAATTAAACAAACAAACAAAACAAAAATAAACTCATAGATACTAAGAACATTTTGATGGTTACCAGATGGGAGGGGGGTTGGGAGGTGGGTGGAAAATGGGAAGGGATTAAGAAGTACAAATTGGTAGTTACAAAATAGTCATGGGGGTGTAAAGTAAAGCATAGGGAATATCATCAATAATATGGTAATAACTATGTATGGTGCCAGGTGGGTAGTAGACTAGTCAGGGTTCACTTCTTAAATTATACAAATGTCTAATCACTATGCTGTACACTTGAAATTAATAAAATAGTGACTGTGAATTGTGATTGAAAAATTAAAAAGTGGGAGGAAATGTGAAGGGAAATAAGAGGTTCAAATTTCCAGGTATAAAACAAATAAGTCATGGGGATGGAATATACAACATAGAGAATATATAGTCAATAACATTGTGATAGCATAGTACAGTGTCAGAAGGTTGCTGGGTTTATGGTGATCACTTCTTTAGGTATATAAATGTTAAATTACTATTCAGTACACCTGAAACTAACTTAATATTGTATGTTAGGTACATATTAATGAAAATCTTAAAAAAATTTCCTGTTGTTTCATCCATATAAGCCAAAAAGACCTGTGCTTAATGTGTGCATGTGTGTTTGTGTTTGATATTTTGAGGCATAATATGAATTTTACTTTAATTCTGAGAAAACTCTTGTATTAGCTTCTAACCACACATATCTTCCATTTCTTTCAAGAAGATCCACATAGAATATTTATGTATTCTTATTTTCTTACTACGGATTCAGTAGTTTATGGTAATTTTGTTAAATCTATTGTGAGCAAGTGAGGGGAATCCACTGCAGTGCCTAATAAAACAGCCAATACACAACAAGCATTCAAGGAATGCTGTTTGTGGACCTAATATTTAGCTATACACTCAGTTCTGTGAGAGATTAGTGGACATGGGAAATATCAATCAGCCTTAAAACACAAAATGAAAGTCTTCTGAGACTATGTATGTGTGAATATCAACCTACCTACCTACCTACCTACCTACCTACCTACTTGTATCTATCTCCATATATAATTACGTAATGAGGTTGTTCTATAGACTTAGGGAGGGAGGAAACAAATAGCTCTAAAGTGGCTGTTTTATAATAATAGCAGTCATAATCAGTGACCTTTATATTTGTTTCCACTTACATGTTTAGACTCTGGAAAAACATCCAAGCAGTAGCCTGTAGATGTCTATGTTTGTAAAGCACAAGCAGTTGCTTAAAAACATTATGAATTTGAAAAAAAAATTATTTTATATTTTATGCTGTCTTAATGTTGTTAGCAAACTAAGTTAAAGAAGTAAAATAGTTATGACTTAAGAGAATTAAATTGCAAGCTACTTCATTTTGCTTACTTATATAATTTGAACCAGGTGGTCATATGATAGAGTACCTAATCTCTACTCCCCAACTCACACCCCATCTCTATGCATGTATATAAAGTTACTTAATTGAACAGAACGCAGGAGAGATGACAATAATAAAGTTGACATTACAATAGTTCAGTCATTACTTGAGAAACAAAATCTATAAAAATTTAAAGAGGAGCTAGAAGGGCATGAAGAGAAAAAGACTGATGCTGTAGATTGGGATTCATATCATTATATTACTGAATTTATAGTAAACCTCTCCATATCCTACTATGACATTATTCATTGAAATTCTCTTTGGGATGTAAACAGCATGCTTTGAAAATGCAATTTAAAGCTAACCAGATAAAAAATGATCCTTTGAATGACTTTCCTTTAGGCTATAAATTGACTTGGGAGTCATTCTATGTACCCAAACTCCAGGTTTCGACAAACATATTTTTCAGATTCTTCTCAGACATTTTGTCTCTTCAAGGGTCTAATAAAGTCCCTTTCATGACATTTACAAGTCAATAATTCTGAATGTGGCTTTTTGCTGTCTGCTGATGACATTCTAGGTTTCTACCTGCACTTTCGCTCATTGGTTATCAGATTTTGGTAAAGTAATATGGTTTTAAAAAGACATATAATCTTGTCAGAATTAAAATGATAATTTGTGTAAACTACACAGCATAGAGCCTTACACCTGTTTCTGGTCTCGTCATGCCCTAATTAAAATCTTCCTAAGCCCAATGTCCTTAATATGGCCAGAGGAGAGCCTTCATTGTGGCCCCTGGATAATTCTTTGCCTCTAGTTCCCACCATTTTTCCTCTTGTGTCTATTTACTGTAGCCATGCCAAATTATTTGCTCTTTTTTAGTTCTTCATGCTTCTTAAGCCTCAGTGCTTTTGCTATTCCTTTACTGATCCTCTTTCAAGAATGAGCCCCCACTTCTCATCCTCTGGAAACCTTTCATGAACTATTTCATGCTGAATTAAGACCTCTTCTCTATGTTTTCACAGCTCCTTCTGCATGCATATCTTTATGGTCATACCTGTCATCCATTATTGTATTTTTCATTCAAATTTTCAATTTCCTCCCACAAATCTAGGCTATAAACTATGTGAAGACAAAGGCTGCAGCTATTATTATTGTGATCCCCAGGATCTTTCTCAGAATATGGCACATATTAAGTGCCCTACACATTTTTTGCCAAATGAATAAATATTGTACTGGGTCATTGGCGAGTATAGGATCTTTCTGCTAAAGAATTTCAAAGTACTGTACTTTTATATAACATCTGAAAGAATTCTAATCCTGAAAGTATGAGTTGAAATTTAGAGTTATTATGAAATCAAATTTTTCATATTTGGATAAAAAGATATTGTTTTCTCACTATATGATAACCTTGTTCAGAAATCCCAGATGAACACAAATAACTTATCTAGATTTCACCCTACGACTTTCTCTGAGAGTGCATTTCTAACTTAATGATATAATACACAAAATATCATACTTTTAAAAAGTTAGGTGAATTTCTTCATCTGTGAAATAAAGAACTGAGGTGCAGGGATGGAATAAATACAGCCTGGACAAGAAAATGATGTAACTTTTCCCTGGATCAAACTTGCCTTGAACTACATTTTGGTAGGCTAAGGCTTGACATGCACTCAGAAAAAAAATAGTCAACAGAATATAGCAGGGACACTTCTTTGGATATTTTAATATTGGTTTTGATTATGGAGTTATATTTTGTGATATTTACACTCTACTCTCAATACTTTCATCTCTAGCTTGAAAAGACAAGTCTCTAGCAAGATTATAAATGACTATCACTGATGTTAAACATCCAGGTTACAAGTATTCTTTTTATTCATGAGTTTACTCTCTCTCCCTAAGCTGTGTTCCTTCCTAATTAAATATGTCACTACATTTTCACTTTTTCGTTAGATGTAATTGTAACAAAAAAGTTCTTACTGATCGATATTGTTCATCAAGGTAAAAACAACAAACATCACAGAATTTGAAATCCAAATAGCTTCACTTTGAGGAAGACATAAATGAGAGAAACACTGGTCTATTTAGTGGTCTTACCATTAGCATTCATAATAATTCAGATGAAAGGATTTGGCAGGATGATGGAGTAGTTAAGACTACAGATGACAGCCATCAAATTTTAGCTTAGCTTCTTACCAGCTGCATTAATCTGGATAAATGGCTCAACTTCAATAGGCTTCTGTTTTCTCACAAGCAAAATTAGGAAAATAATACTTGTCTCATTGACTGTTGAAAGGTTTAAATGAGATAATATGTATACATGTAAATACTTCACATCATTTCTGGCATTTATTAGAGGCTCAATAAATGGTAGCTATTATTGCCATTATTTATAAAGGGTTTTATAACAAATTTTCTATTCTTGAATTCTTATATGAATATAGATATTTTATCAATGATGGGAACAGAATTTTATTATGATTATATATTTGGACATTTTTTTAAAGATTTTTTATTGGGGAATTGGGGGAGGGGAACAGCATTGGGGAATCGGGGAAGGGGAACAGACAAGCTGCTATCCTTTTGTTCTTCAGTCTAGTTGTGGAGGACGTCGCTTCACTGGGCCATGTTGGTATTATCATTGTGCTCTTCCAGGGTGAGGCAGTCGCTTGCCGGCCATTGGACAGCCTCTCACTCTGGCTGCCAGCCACTCACGGTAGCTCACGGCAGCCCACTGATGCTCCACTGCAACCTATACTGTCGCCTGCGACTCACGGCAGCCCAGCTACAGGTCGAGCTGTTGTTCACCATCTTAGCTGTAGAGGGCACAGCATTACTGGCCCTCATGTGGGATCTGAACAGGGGCCCTGCTGCTCAGAGCTGGTGTCCCAAGCCAACTCGGCAGGCCCTGGACATTTTTCTAATCAAGAACATTGCAAAAGCCTCCCATATTAACCTTACAAAGATAGCACGAGATGGATCTGAAACTCAAAAGAACTCAATGGTGGGGTTTAGCATAAGTAAGGCATTCCCAAGCCTGTATTATTCGATGTTGGAACACCTTCCTCCTTTCATCTCCCATTTTGGTTTTCAATGCATTGAGTCTATGGAATTAATTTGAGATTCTAATTAAGCCCATGAATCTATATTTAAACTTATAATGTGCATTTCAGTGGAGACTGTCTCATGACCACTGTTTTTATTGATGTAAATGAGATAACAAGCCAAAGCTGTGCAATTTTGAAGTAACTGCTAAAACGATTTCCTCATAGCTTTATTCTCTTCCAAGTTTTCATTAGTATCTATTATGATGCCAACACTGGTGAACAATCAGGCTAACACCACTCACTGAGGCTCTCTACATTATAAGTGTAAGTGATGAATTCTGCATAAACAGACATATTTGGGCCACATTTCATGGAAGTGTTTAATGATAACACCAGCATATTAACTGAAATGACTGTATGCTTATTTACATGAACAGAGTCCTGTTTGATAAGACTATTGTAATTTTAGGACATTAGATTTTTAACTATCAGGACATTAGAGTTTTAACTATTGGAATGGTATTCGATTAACATCTTATTTTATATGCTGTGTGAAACTTACTTTCATCTCCTGTTTCAAATTCAAACTTCTGACTGTAGCCACTGTATCCTGTTGTAGTCCTTACTCGGATATGAAATATGTACTTGGTTGCTGGCTTGAGACCTGTGATGATGACACTGGGGGCTTTGGACCTCGTGGAGGAATACGTGAGCTGCTCGTGCTCCTGGGGACAGAAAAGAAGAGAATGGAAATGAAGCAGAGTTATTCTACTTTTTCTGAGAGATGTTTCAAAGTTAAACTGAGCAATTATGCTCAGAATATCAAAAGTATTGATTTAAAGGAGGTGAGAGCATGATTTCCCATAATTTAGCATTTAGTTATTTATCATTAGGATGCATATGATATGGTCTTGATTTGGAAATTTATTAAGAAAGATGATTAATTTTATATAAACTGAGCTTGTATTTTTGGTGATTTGGATTTCTGATCCCACTGTGAGGAATGGTGGTGGTGTGAGAGCATGTTTACACACAATGGCATCTACAACTTAAGCAAAATGAGCACATCAAATCAGACCACACCAGCAGAGAGCAAAGAGCAAGGGTGGGAAAATTCAAGTATCCACTACTCACTTCTACCCGCAGGTAGTGCCAAAATGCCGGCGCTATCCGTGGGTAGTCCTGTGGGTGAAAGGAAAAATAAATTAATTGGATTTTAAAGTTTGAAATCTTTTTATCTCGAATCAATTGCTTTGTTCTGAAACTCAGTGATTCCCCATTGTAGCAACTCAAGGTGAGTTAACCAAGGGCATAAAATGATAGAAAATTTTCACATGCATTTGCTGCAGCTAACTGAATGATCTAGTCTGTCAGGGTCTTTTTTTTTATGTTTTAAGAGTGTATTTGTTGACAAAGAAATTGTTCATGGTATTGTTAATTTTCTTAAGAATTATAAAACAGCATAAACAGTATAGTATGATCCATATATGTAAAAATACAGACTTAGAAATCTGAAAAGATATAGACTAACATGTTGACAGCATCTATCACTTGGTAGTGGATTCATGTGTGAATTTAGGTTTTTATAATTAACTGTATCATCTAATTTTCCTCTATGATTATGTGTTGTCATATAAGTAGATATAATGACCTAGCATCTATTAAGCACCTAGTTCTTCTCTAATGAGGTGCTAAAATGTAGAGATTAGCACATGGCTTCTGGAATCAGACTGGTTCAAATCCTGGTTAAGCCCCTCAGTTGTATGACCTCAGGAAAGTTACTCAGCCTCTCTTGTAGTTTCAGTTTCTTCCTGAATAAAACAAACAGCAATACCCAACTCACAGATTGGTGGTGAAGTTTAAAATAGGTAACCTATGCAAAGTGCCTGGCATTTATTATTCATTGGATAAATGTTAGTTATTATTATATGAAATACAAAGAGGTATTTTTTTTATAAATTTGCCAAATGATATAGTTGTTATCCTCAGGGAGTTTTTCATTTGGTAAGAATAGTAAAATTAACACATAAGAAACAAAAAGAAAACATTATAATAACTTCTCAGCGTCAAGGATTTGGAATTGCTATAGCTATTACCTTCTCTCTCCCTGAGCCTGTACAGTTGATGAGATGCCAAGATATACCTGGTAGAAACCTCTTGCCTCATCTTCATACCTATTGACTCTCGTCCAGCTCATGTTTATCTTTTGTGTGTTCATCTCATTAAGCTCCAAAGGACCTATGGCCTCTTGTCTCTTTAAATTCCCACCTCTCTACACCAGTGGTCCTCAAAGGGTGATTCCTGAACTAGTAGCATCAGTATCACCTGATAACCAGCAAGATATTCAAACTCTTGGGCCCCACCCAAGAGCCACTGAATCAGAAACTCTAAGGATGGAGCCCAGTAATTCATTTTATAATAAGTCCTACAGGGGGTTTTGGTATACACTCGAGCTTGAGAATCTCTGCTCAATAGAGTACTGTCTGATCAGTCTTCCCAAAGCACACATACTCTGTCATCTTCTACTAGCCAATTCTCTCTGACTATCAAGTAAATGGTGATAGGTCTTTTGCTGCTGCTACTGAAGGTCTTCCCTCCATGGTCTAATCCCAGTCTCCTTTCTCAGGCTCATCTTCAGCACTACTTTTTGCAATCACAGTATGGTCTAGTAAGACTAAAGCACCCAATTCTCCTTAGACGTGACCCATGTTATGATTCCATTCATGTTTCAATGCCTTTGCTCATACTAACTCCTGAACGTATAATTTATTCTTTCTTGCCATCTTAGATGTTTAAACCCTGCTAAACCTCAAGATCCAGGGCTCACCCATGAAACTTCTCTCAATACATCATCAACCTTCTATAGAAGTGACTGCTTTCTCCTCAGACCATCCAAAACATTAAACTGGCGCATTCTTCTTCATGTCCTTCCTTGGTATCGTCATGATGTATCAGTTTCCTAGGGCTGGCACAAAACGGGTGGCATAAAACAATAGAACTGAAGTCTCTCACATTTCTGGAGACTAGAAGTCTGAAATCAAGGTGTTGTCAGTGCCATGTCTTTTCTCTCAGTGTTCAAGGAATGCCGGCAATCCTTGGCATTCTTTGACTCATAGAAACATCACTCTGACTTCCGTCTCCATAGTCATACGGCATTTCTCCTATGTTTCTATGTATTCTCCTCTTCCTATAAGGTCACCATTCATATTGGATTAATCCCTCCCCCTCAATGTAGTATATCGCCATCTTAATTGGATTACATTGTCAGGGTCTTTTAAGTGGGCTCTTTTGCTTACCACTTCAGAACAGGATAGTTCATTCTACCTGTGCATATAAGTGACTACCAACAACATGCTGGTGATGTAACAAATTAATTTTAACACTTTTTGTATAGTGTTATTTTTCTTTCTTTTTTCTTTTTTCTTTTTTTAAAGATTTTTATTGGGGAATTGGGGGAAGGGGAACAGACAAGTTGCTGTCGTTTTGTCTTCAGTCTAGTTGTGCAGGACGTTGTTTCACTGGCCCAAGTTGGCACCATCATTGCGCTCTTCCCGGGCGAGGCAGATCAGTCGCTGGCTTCTGGACGGCCGCTCACTGCAGCTGCTGGCCGCTCACGCTGGCTGCTGGCTACACATGGTAGCCCATGGCAACCCACTGCCACAGGGGCTGCAGCCTACGCCGTCCCCAGCGACTCATGGGCAGCCCAGCTCCAGGTTGAGCTGTTGTTCAGCATCTTAGCTGTAGAGGGCAGTATCGCTGGTCCTCATATGTGGGATCCAAACCGGGGCCCTCTTGTGTCCCAAGTGAGTTCTTAACCATTGCGCCACTCGGCCTGCCCTAGTGTTATTTTTCAATAGCTTTATGATGATATTTTAATAGGGCATCTGCAAAAAATTGTATTTGCATAAACAACTCTTCTAAATTCCTAGGTCAAATTAGGCCACGAGGTCCTTAAGTTAATTACTATCTACTATTCTCATATAAATCTAAAGATAGAGATTCTCAGGGATGGAAGTGACTTTCAAGGTCATTAACTGAATCACTCATTTAAGGCTTAAATTCTACCTAGCACATCCCCAACTAATAAATAAATAAAGATTTTATTTAGCCTTTGCCTAAAAATCTCTGTTGTTCAGGAGAGCTTCCAAATGAACAAATGAAGTTATGAAAATCTACACATATGTAGAATGTGTTGAATTTCATTGATTTGCTTGTGATGCTTTAAGATTTAGAACTATGAAAATTATTTCCCTTAATCTAGCTACTTTTGAGAAAAAAATCCTTATCTTAAAGACCATTTTTAAACTTTATGGCCTTATTTGTCTAAATTTTATATGCTACATGGTTATTTTGTGTCTAGCTGAGGAACTGAATTTGCCATCTATACTCCCAATAGAACTGTTTATTAAACATAAAGTACAAAGAAAACATGAGTTAATAACAGCAAATTTTAAATTAAAAAGACAAAACAGACAAATTGCAACTTATCTTTCTCTCTAGGTAGTTTTGAGATTAGAAAGTAAATAAATATCCACCTGGCATCAAATCCAAGAAAATAAAGTCTATAAACTTATTGATAGTAAGAGTCATCTGTTAAGGACCAAAAGGAGCTTTCTAAGATCAAGACCTTTATAATTAGGGGCTTAACACCCATAGTGTGAAAAAATGTGTGCTAGTAGATGAGATGATATTGTTTCTGGTAGCAATTTGCCAAACCTTTTGGATTGTTCAATCTCACGTACAAGAGGAGAATATTCCACCTCTCACAGAATTTCTTGCAACATAGTAAGAGTTACAGTGTAGCGTGAGTGCTGATTCACAATGTGCAATGATGACTGAGAGAAGAATTTTAAAGCCCTGGAAAAAGAAATTAGTCTTATGCTCAAAGAGAAGATGCAGGTTTCAAAGTGTACTCTTAGCATGGCCCCATAATAATTACGTATTAAGTCTTTGTTGCTTCACCGAAACATACCTAAGTAGTAATTTCTTGCTCAGTAAAGTTACAGGGAGCAAGAAAACCTGCAAACAGCGTTTTGCATTTCTGCTGTAACATACATGAGTGTATCTACACATCCTTCAAATAAAAATCCTCAGGTAGGAAGTGTGCTTACATGGTTCCTCAGCCTAAATCACAGCGGTGTGTGTGGTGGCTGCTGCCTTGTCTTACATCTTGCCACCACTGAGCATGCGGAGGAGGAAGGCTCAGAAAGCACCAGTCATGGAAGTCTCTCCCCACAGTGCACAGCAGCCCTCTCTCCGCCTGGTGTTTCCAAGCTCTTGGGAAATCAAATTAGCACGTATCCATGACAAGCATAGGGCACTGTTGTCCCAGGATTTTGGCTAATTGCCTTTCTGCTGACACATCAACTCTAATTCAAAGTAGCTGTCAGCAGGGAGAAGCTATGCTTTGCCACAGAGCACGTAGATCTCTTTATTCATCCTGGCAGCCTGAATTCTGAACATGCTTGAATAGGGTTTGTGAGTATTTCTGGAGTTTGGGCCATAATGGGATTGCTAATTGTACGGCACTCACATCTTCAACTTTGCTAGGTAACACATTCCCTTGTTCACAAAACACTCATATGTTTTTCATCTTTGCTATAGACATAGTAAAATCATCTTCTTGCTATAGACATAGTAAAATCATCTTCTCATTCCTAATATTGTTTATTTTTTTATTTTATTGTTTTTCTTCACCAGGCTTTCCAGAGGTTTGAATCAACGTTTGGCTTTGTTTATCACTCTAATTGTTTCTTTGTTTTCTACTACATTTAATTTCTGCTCTTGCTATAAATTATTTTCTTTCTTCTTTATACTTTCTTTGTTTTACTTATGTTGTCTTCTAACTTCTTGGTTTTCATGTTTAACTCATTAATTGTCAGTAGAGCTGATCCTTGAACACCACGAGTTTGAACTGCACAGGTCCACTTACACTCGAATTTTTTTCAGTAAATATACAGTTGGCCCTCATGTGCCTGGGTTTTCGCATCACAGATGCAATCAACTGTGGATTGAAAACAGTGTTTTCAGTCTGCGGTTGGATATCCTCAGATGCGGAGGGCTCACTGTAGCCATTGTTCTATGACATTTTGTAAGAGGGACTTAAGTATCCCTCTTTGGTATCCACAGGGTCCTGGAACCAATCCTACTTATTTACCAAGGAAAGACTATAGTTATGTTTT